TCTACCACGAGACCCGTCACCTCTACCAGTACCACCTCCTATTTTTCTTCTTCCTGCTCCTCTCCCAGGTGCCGGCAGCCCAACCGGCCGTTGATCACAACCTCCTCGGTCAGCAGGTAATTCCTCAGGACGCCTGCCTTCCTGTCTTGGCGGTGGTGTTGGAGATGGTGGTCTTATGGGAGGGGGAGGCGGTGGTCTTCTACCTCCTTCTCTACGGTGTGGTGGTAAATCATCGGCGGTCTCATCTGGCGGTGGTAGCCGATTCTGAGTCCCTGGTAGAGACTTCATTTCCTTCTATTGAAGATTTATATAAAGCTTATTTAATTGTAATTATATAATTTACATCATTGTCTTAAAGGAGATCATAATCCTCATTGTCTTCCCCATTTCAACTTCAATTAATCGTCAGTACTAAGTACTACGCAAAATCAAATTAGTTGCAGCTGTTGTAATATTAATAATTTAATAACCAATAATAATTAATGTGTCAAGAATTAATAGGTCTATTTATTCAATCAAATTAGACCACGCCTTAATTATTATTATTAATATTATTAGCCCATTATTATAACTAAGCAACTGATGTAAGACGCTCAGTTTCAAAAATAACTTCATGTGAGAAGATTGAAACTTCCTTACCAGCAATGGTAGCGAAGAAGAAGCGAGATGAAGCTTATTTATTTCCTCAATGGATGCTTGCCACATCCGCCAATCAACAACATGCACACACCACAACAGTATCGTCACATAAAAAGCACAAGAGGAAAGACATCATAGACTCTTTCTATGGCCCACCCGCAATACAGCGTTGACTACCACTCCCAGACGTGAGTAATAATAAAAACATATGCATTGATTACTTAAAAGAAAAGCAGAGGGAACATAGATCTAATGAGTCTCAAGAAGATAAAGCCAAAAAATTGAGAAAGATGCGAGAATATGCACAGAGGGCTAGATCTATACATAATGAATCAGCAGATCACAGAGAAGCACGTCTAAGTGATCAAAGACATAGAAATTAGCAAAGAGGTACCAATCATGAATCACCAGATCACAGAGAAGCACATCTAAGTGATCACAGACAGAGAAGTCGCAAAGAATTAACAATGCCTCAGAGTCTCAAAGACAGAAACGTCTTGCTGACTTAAGTGAAAGATCACAGCAGCGATGTGCCAGTGAATCAGAAGCTCAATAAGAAGAACGTCTCTTAGATCTTCGTGAAAGAGATCTTGAAAGAAGAGACTCAGAATCTGAAGAGCAAAGAGCTCAACGTAATCAAATAATGAGGGAATATCGTAGAGGTTTAGTGGCCAATCAGCCACCTCCAGCTCCCTCACCAGAAAGTGTTCGTCAGCAACAGCTATCTAGAAAAGATCTCAAAAAATTGCAAAAAGAGATACGACTATCTCCAACCAGTGTATGCTGTACATGCGAATGTTTATGCTACCCAAAAGGTGTATCATTGGTTGATGTGAGTAAAGTGCATGATGTATTACAACAGCATTATCATGCGTGCATTAATGATACACAATTATCAGCCTTATTGCCTAATGAAGAAGTAAATGATAGTGTCATGTTCGTAGTAGATGTATGGTTTTTATAAAGAAAGGGAAAATTCCTCCATTTGCTACAATAAATAATATGCAATCCCACCTGAATTATCCCGTTTGACGACAATGGAACAGACTAATTACAAGAGTGCAAGCCTTTATGAAACTAATAGTGTTGCCATTGGGTCAAAGAGCATTGGCTGGCCAGACCATTAATTTTCCAGCAAATGTGTCTGAAGTATATAATTCTTTGCCTAGGCCACTAAATAGTGATGGAGTTGTGTTAGTTAAGGCACCGGAGAGCACAAACGCTACAGTCTCTGTTCCACCTGCTGATCAAACAGCCAGTACTAGTAGTGGGCCTGAGAGTGCTAGAGCTAGTACCAGTACAAACAGAGCTTGTGCTAAAACTGCACAATCAAGCACATCTACTAGTACTAGAAACCTATT